ATTTGGTTGATTTGTGACCAAGTATTGGTGGTGGATTGAGTTTGGGGGTCGTGTGTTTGGGTGTATGTGACCAACTATACGGTTCTCTGTGACTTTGAAATTAATAATCTGTAACTGAAATAGGAATCTGTGACCAACAAATATGAAAATACGGGACATGTGACATATAATTTTTTTGATCTGTAACTAATAAAATATTTTGTGACCTATAAAATTTTAGATGTGTGATTTCGAAATAATCCGTGACCTGCAAAATTTTTGATCTGTGACCGATGAAAAAACTGTGACCTATAAAATTTTAAATCTGTGATCTCGAAATAATTCGTGATCTAAAATTTTTTTGATCTGTGACCGGAGAATAGTCATCGGAGTGGTCGTCGGAGCATATGGTGAGGTGAGATGAGATGAGATGAGGTGGGGTGGAGATGGGTTAATTATATTATATTAAAATTAAATATTTAATTTAATATAATAATTGTGAAATATAATTAATTAATTCATGAAGAACCTGATTTTTGTAATTCTAAACCTTGGAGTCTGATTTTTATTTTGGGATAGATAAAGCTTGAATTGTGAATTTTTCCCTATGGAAAAACGATGGAGGTTTTGAACCCAAAAATTCATTTTGTAATTCTAAATTTTGGGGCTTGATTTTTTATTTTGAGGTAGATAAAGTCTGAATTGTGAATTTTTTCCAAAATAGAGAGGGTGCTCAAAGCCCACAAAAGAAGAGAGAAGGACCCACATGGAAGAAATCTCTCAATTATCGTTCCCCGGCCCACAAGCCCTAAAATCACGGTGAAAATTAATTAGTACTTATCTTCGTTCTAACCACCCACATTATGGCTAACATAAAAAGAGGTGAAAGGACACACATACACATCCCAATTATGCCACCAACAATGGGATCTTTCACTGTAAACAATTAGTTTTTACTAATTAATTCGACTTTACACTCGTTTTCTATTTCATAAAAATGACTGATTAAGAAATGGCGTTGGGTAAATTCACATGTTAAATTTGTTACATTCATATTGAAAAAAATTATTACACCCACCATTCTTATCATAACTAACGTTAGGAATAGGCGAATATATAAATACTAGGTGCAAGCAACGTGCAATGCACGTTTGCCTAATTTATATTTAATAGTTTTGTTTAAGAATTAATTTGTTATTAATAAAGATGTAATTTTTTTGGTTAATTAAATAATTAATGATGTAATGTTTATGTAATTAATAAATAATTAGATGTGTGATTTTGATGTTGTGATGTAAGTTGGTGAGATCGAAGAAAATAAGCAAAAGTTAACAAATTTGGAGATATGGCTAAATTGTAAGGGATCTAAAGTTCAAGGACTAAAATGTAAATACTTAAAAGTTGTGCCGAAACTCACGATGAAGATTTGAGAGTGCTCAGAGTCAATTGGATAAAGGAAGACGTCAATGGAATCAAATTTAGTCAAAAGATGATCACAAATCAATTTCCAACCGAANTATGTAACGGAATTTCTTGTTTTAAACAGGCAGCTGCACCTTCTTTCAGTGTTTTTATCATAATTTTGTATTCCGATATCCGATTGAGGCGATTCAAAATGCGTTGGAAAGCTAACTCATCTGACTACAACTTTGGTTCAGACATCATTTTCCAATTCGATCACTTTCTATGCCAAAAATAGGTCTCAATATGAGACTAAAATATCGGAGCATAACTTTTCGGTTGGAAATTGATTTGTGATCATCGTTTGACTAAATTTGATTCCATTGACTTCTTCCTTTATCCAATTGACTCCGAACACTCTCAAATCTTCATCGTGATGTTCGTCACAACTTTTAAGTATTTACATTTTAGTCCCCGAACTTTGGATCCCTTACAATTTAGCCATTTCTCCAAATTTGTCAACTTTTGCTTATTTTCTTCGATCTCACCAACTTACATCACAACATCAAAATCACACATCTAATTATTTAACAATTACATAAACATTACATCATTAATTATTTAATTAACCAAAAAAATTACATCTTTATTAATAACAAATTAATTATTAAACAAAACTATTAAATATAAATTAGGCAAACGTGCATTGCACGTTGCTTGCACCTAGTATAGTTAAAAATAAGAGAGAAAAATATATTTTGGAAATAATGGTAGCCAAACAAAGGCTTAATATTTTTTACATTTTAAATATAATTTAAATTTTTAAAAAAAATAAAAGAAAGAACTAGTCTGGGTAATTCGAAAATAGAGACCATGTGATTTCCCAACAGGACGATGCATTTTGTTTCAATCATAAAATGACTTTATAAATAGGGACCATTTGACAGGTTATAATAGCACTAGTAAAATATTGCACTAATGGGCCATTTAGCGCGAGTCAAGCCGAAATAGCGCAATTCTTGTCAACCCAAAAAGTGTTTTCAACTGATATACAAAGTGTTTTAAGGCTGGCTACATGCTACCATCTCCTCGGAGTCTTGGACAGCAAAAATATGGCTAAATTTCAGTACACCAATTTTATCTTCTTCTGGTTTAGTTTTCTCTTATTTTTATCTCTTGCTGTATGCTCGAGATATGAACAAGAAGAGCTGCAATGGCTGGATGATAAAGATGATGAAATTAACATGGTTCAGAACAGGCATTCATCTCTCAGAAGCTGTGATTTTGGCACTGGAAAATGGGTTTATGATCAATCTTACCCACTCTATGATGCTACTTGCCCATATCTTAGTACTGCTGTCACCTGTCGAAAAAATGGACGCCCAGATTCAGATTATGAGAAATGGAAATGGAAGCCCCATGATTGTGAAATTCCAAGGTACTTTTTGGAGTTATTTTACACACATTAAGTGCATATTTTTACGACACTTTTATGAATGATTTTCTACAAATTCAGTGCATGTTTTGTGGGTACTTCTATCAGCGAGTTTACACACATATTCAATGTATAAGGTGAAGACAAACGAATACGCATTGAATGAGTTAGGCCTGTGGACTTTTTATCAAAGTCTACATATTACCAAACGTGTCATATTTTTTTGATACTTTTGTAAAGCGGAATGCTGCTTGGGACAAAAGACGAGATTTTAACCTTTTTTTTTCTTTAATCATGTCCGATACTGTTCAATCAAGCACATCAAACATCTTTTTGAAAGAACGTTTATATTATTAAATCGACAAGCATAGAATGTTGGATGAAATGAATTGATAATGCAGGTTTCATGCATTGGATTTTCTTGGAAGGATGAGAAGGAAAAGAATAATGCTTGTAGGTGATTCCATAGTGAGGAATCAATGGGAGTCTCTTGTATGCTTAGTTCAGTCAGTTATTCCAACAGCTCGTAAGACGGTTACTTATAATGGTCCTACCATGGCGTTCCAGGCATTGGTGAGTTGATATTTCATCACGACTTTTCACATAATATGAAATACCTGTCAAGTAATTTATTAGCTTCACATAATGTGGTGACTTGATCATTGCAGGATTATGAGACATCAATTGAGTTTTGTTGGGCTCCTTTCTTAGTTGAATTGAAGCAAAGCCCTGGAAGTAAGAGAATATTGCATCTTGATTTGATAGAGGAGAATGCACGATATTGGAGAGAAGTTGACGTTCTTGTGTTTGATTCAGCTCATTGGTGGACTCACACAGAAAAATGGAGCTCGTAAGATAATTTTACGTTAAATTCTCTAGATCCCGTCCGTGTTTAATCTGTTTGGTACCTTCAAAATTAAAATACATTTTCTCACATGTGAAACATAAGAGTTGACGTGACATAAGTAGAACAAGTTTGAAATAAGTGCAAGTCAAAACTGGTCATAACTGTTAAGGTTCAAGTTGTAGCTGAATCCAAATTTATTGAGAAAAAAGATTTAGTTTTTTGTCGTTGTCGTAGAGTCTCATTAATTTTGCATTGTAGCGTGGTTCTAATAACCATAACCATAATCTTGAATACTTGTACTAAACTGCAGGTGGGACTTTCTTATGGAAGGGAACAATGCTTATAAAGATATGAATCCCATGGTTGCTTATGAAAAAGGACTGTCGACGTGGGCTAATTGGATAGATTTAAATCTTGATCCCCGGAAAACAAGAGTCTTTTTCCGCAGCATGTCGCCTAGGCATAACAGGTAATATTGCATCTTTTACTCAAAATTTCATCAAAAGAATGAAAATTATCATTATTTTTGTTTTCAAGCATTGAAACCTTCATCTGCCTTTTTGTAGAGAAAATGGCTGGAAATGCTACAATCAGAGAGAACCAATAGGCTCTTTCAGCCACCCCCATGTCCCGGAACAACTAGTGGTTTTGCGAGAAGTGCTGAGAAGAATGAGGTTTCCGGTATATTTGCAGGACATTACAACAATGTCAGCTCTTAGACGAGATGGGCATCCCTCTATTTATGCTAGGGCTCTAGGCGAAAAGGCTAAGCGGGAAATGGGAGGCTATAGTTCTGATTGTAGCCATTGGTGTCTCCCTGGTGTGCCTGATACCTGGAATGAGATGTTAAATGCTATGCTTTGAGATTGGAAAACCGAGGGCATGTTTGTT